CCTACCTACCTACCTACCCACCCATCTATCTATATATAAGTATACATTTAAATATCCATAGCTAGCTCGATATATAAACAAACATATACATAAACGTATGCAGGTCGAAATCAGCTTTATACGCACGGTGCCAAAGCCAGATTGAGTAGTTATCTGGGCACTTCCTCATACCACGCCGGAAAGGCAGACATCCTTTGCTTTTGCTTCGTCGGCACTCCCATTTCGCTCTGCCTCACATCAGATGGACTCGAGGTCGACGCAGGACAAAATGGGAAACCTCAAAAACTCCGGCGCCTCTTCTTTGGAGCCGATGTATCAGACGCCATCGCCGCATGGCCTAGAAGCTTCTTGAGAGCAGGAGGTAGCTCCCCGTTTTGCGACATCCGTTGCAACGCCTTGCTGTTCTGGGCGAAGGTAGCACAAGCCTTCTCGAGGCCGAACAAGCTCTTCAACGTGGCAGCCGATGCGATGTCGACGAAGCTGGAATCGGTGATCATCCCTTGTAGGATCTCCTCGAGCACGCGCACCACGCCCTCCACCTGCCAGCGATGGGCGAGGTCTAAGGCTTCGAGCGCGGTCTTGTACTGCACTTCACTGCATGTGGAGCTTGCGTACACAAGGTCCAAGAACAGGGACACACCGGCAGCAGAAGAGTCTTTGACTTGAATATGCTTTCTAGAACCTTCCGTCATGCAGGACTGCAGCATTGCCGACAGCACCGGGGAGGCCGCTATGAGAGCAATGTCGTGTGCTGTTACTGGACCATCGGCAGTGGCAAATGTGACGTTGTGGGTGGCAGTCATGTTCCTGATCGCTTCCCAGCGGTCGATTGCAGTTTGGTCTACTTCTATTTTCGGTCGCTGGCCCTGCATTCGGGAAACTATGGATACGACCTCCTGGACGAAGTCAGCTGCCCCAACATAGCGCCCTTTCTCGGTCTCATCCAAAGCCTCGAGAAGCGCCAGGGCAAAGGAAAGGAGACACTGCCCATTCGCTTGGACACGTATTTCGTCGGACATGTCTTTCTCCTTCTCGCCCCTCTTTGATCTGTACCACTGAAAGGCACAGGGTTCACGGAGTTTTTGTGGCAGTCGGAGAAATGGATCTGCTCCATTTTTGATCATCCACTCAACAATCTGGAGGCATCGTTTCCTGCTATCATGCTTCATCACTCCTTTTTTAAATGCCTCAAACAGCAGTGGAAGTTCGCCGTCAGCAGTTCGCGACCACGCAAAGCATGGCGGTGCGAAGTTCCTTGAGATTGGCCAAGACTACGAGCACGTACTTTGGTTCTTGGACACGAGCAAAATTGTTTTGCATGAGCGATTATGCTATGACTGGCTTGCAGCAAGGGGAACAATGAGCACAGTCACGAAGGCACCAAAGACAGCACCCCTTACTGTAACCAACTTCAGTACCTTCCATAGTCAGGCAGCATTGGCCGTCAAACTACAATATCACGGCCGTGGAACAAGACATACAACTTTGCAAGAACACGGTGGTAGGGAGAGGGGGGGTGGGGAGCAGGGCTCAGAATGCAGTTTCGCCAGTTGCCGGGTTTGCTGCTACACGCTCCTGAAATTCTCTCGACCCTAAACCCTAAACCCCAAACCCTATATAAACGCTAAGCCCTATATAAACCCTAAACTTTGCCCTAAACCCTAAACTTTGCCCTAAACCCTAAACCACCCTAAACCCTATATAAACCCTTAACCCTAAACCCGAATGTCCTCCTGCCTAGACTGTATGCTGCCGTGCTCTGTATGAGCGGCCGCACAGTCGTGACTTTCTGCTGCAGCTCTGTTGGGTTCATAGGTGTTCGCCTTATTATGGGTGAGGGTTTAAGGGTTCAGGGTGTAATTATAGGGTTTAGGGTTCAGGGTTTAGAGTTTAGGGTTTAGGGCCCATAGCCCATAGGCTCCATGGTAGTTCCTTTTTGTGGTGTATATTTAGGACCCTAGAACGTAATCCCAAAAAGGAACTACAGTGGAGCCAACGGGTAGAGCCAGTCAAAGGGTCGCTATCGCGCGGGGCAGCGAGCGATGCTTTCAGGAAAAGATCATGCTGATGATGACGACATGTTTGCTGTCAGACGTTTCCAGCTGATGACGCTGTAGGTGGTGGTGACGATGATGGCGACGATAATGGTGACGGTGGTGATGTCGATGATGACGATGATGATGACTGTACTGCGTAGCAGAGTTGCATTTGGATTGGAGATTTGGTCATGTATGTGACTGTGACGCTGCTGCGGCTTTTGTTGCTGAGTATGCCAACGATGCTTAATCACTGTGATCTCTCACGGCTCTACACTAACAGCCCCCTCGGCATAGTCTGTTTCATTCAACCTATCACCTCTATGAATATCGTCACGGCGGGATTTTACTGCTAGTGCACATACTGCGACTTTGCATGCTCGCGATTTCGTGCTTCTGTCCTTCCCGAGCTGGCATTACAAATATCTGAGCTGGGCACTTTTAGTGAACTCATTGCGATCATGACTATAGCTATTGTCGCTAAAACCTTCTTGCGCTCATACGGCTGACACACTGCGAGTCTCGCCGGACTTCCTTCCAATTCGACCGCTGCTGACGCTGTCGAACTGGATTACTACCAACACCATGCCTGACATGCCTCTGACTGCGCCACTGCTACTGGCATGGGAAGGTTCATGACCCAACAGTGGCCAGGTAACAGCAATTGCAAAAAGGGGCAAAAAACCAAACACATGCCCACATAAAAGCTGGAAAAGAGGCATAACATGGATGATCCGGCCGAAAAAACAGCCGAAAACAACGAAACAACAAATAAAAATAAAAAATACATTTGCAAAAACTGAACGGCAGGTCTTAGCCAGTAGATTATTGACGATCGCCCCTGCAGCCCCAGCGCGAGGATGGAGGGGAGGGGTGGGGAGGGGACAGTCCCGTGTGGGGAATCCCGGGCACTGTGCCCTTTGTGGCTTCTTTCCTAGGTAAAAAGTTTTAGGAAAGGCAAGAAAAAAACTAACAACAGCTAATTTTGAATGAAAGCTGAAAAAACTAGACCAAAGTCGAGAAAAAGCTAAACAAAAGCTACACAGAACTGTGGGAGACTGGAGCTGTTGCAAGCTTTCAGCTGTTATTTTATTTAGCTTTGATGCAACCTTTTTTACAGCCCTTTAATTTTTTTCCCTGGGGTAAAAGCCACGAAGGCCACACCAGACTCCGTCCCCTCCGCTCCATCCTCACTCTGGGACTGCAAGCGCTATGATAACGCTAACCCTTCTCTATTCTAGCTACTTCCTGCAACACAGCCAGCCTTTGTGCATGTGGTTGTAGTTCACCCCTTTTCAGCTTTCGCACAGCTTTCCTTTATAGATGTTGCCGGGACTTACTGCATCATGGGATTGCCTTTCGGGCAGCTTTCTTGTACTTTTTCAAACCTATACGAACAGCTTTCTCTCTTAGCATTGAGCCTTCCACTACTAGCGCTTTCCATGCGATGGCCGCTAGTCTGCCTCTGGATTGTCCTTGCTGACATGATGTAGAAACCCACATATGTCTGCAGCTATCAGTTTCTATGAGTTATTGATGACCATGCATAGACGGGTTGCAAGTTATACCGCCTCCAGTCTTACGAATACGAACCAGAACTTGCTTGTAAGCAAGGCGAAGAAGATCCGAAGATTGCTGCACCGTCGGCGAACCAATCAATGCTTTAAGTGGTACAGGCGCAGTTATCTTTTTCTACTGTCCCTTACATAATTCCAATTACCCTGAACATCATAAAACTGGTGCTGTTGAGACTCTTCAACCCGGCCAAGTCTGCGAGATTCACGAAGCGCTTCAGGATATCAAAGTGAGGGTCTTCTGCCATATCCGCTCCGCCATGCGCCAGGGTGGACAAAAAAGGCTAGATCTTGTAGGTTCCGAGACTCCTCGTGCAGCATGCTTGAACCCTGAGTTGCAAAGGCTCAAGCCCGCGGTGAAAAGCAGCTCACGTAAGGAACTTCAACGGTCAGATGGAAAATGCTCTCGCCAGAAAGCCTGCAATGATCCGGCGGAGCACATGTCATTCTATCGCTCGCTACATTCGAGTCCTGAAGTTGGGTATAACCAGGGCACAGAGAGACTTCGTGGCTGAACCTTCGGTTAGTTGCAACACTGAAGGATCACGCAAGCAGGATGTCGGTGAGCCTCAACTAAGAGACCATGATGTCGAACGTTTTGGTCACCGAAGTAAACGACCTCCACACTCCCTTGACTTCAACGGAGCCCTAATCTTTAGACCATGATCCCTGTCCGAAACCTCGGCCGCGAGCAAGGCCCCGCCGGAAGGTCAACTTGACCCAAGAGGCCTAAACGCCGAACCCGAATCCTTATGCCCTGGCTAGAATCCAAACCCAAAGTCGTTGATTGACCCAAACTCTTAAGCCCTGGAGCTTTGACTTATGAGGTCTGCTTAAAGCCCAGAGCCTTTAGCATTTACTCCATGTACACTCAGGTATATTCCGGAAGGAGCCCCCAAAATACACTCCCTACAGCGCTTAATCGCACAGAAACACTCCTCCATGTAACCATGTAACATGTGCCTAGCAAGGCACGGTGCATCCCAAAGCCCTCTCTCCTAAACCCTAAACCCTAAAACGTCAAAAGCCCTCACTCCGAGCCCCGGAACCCAGATGCCAATCGCAGTTTGGCGCCATCGCTGCCTGGCATAGGCCCCCCCCCCCCCGAGGCTGTAAATTTGAAGACGTTCACATGCCCTAAACCCTAAACATTGAGGCCTGTAGTTGCTAGGGCTTTTCGGATGTTGGTGGTTTTTTGGAGTTCGACCTTGGAGTTTAAGGGGGGGGGAGGGAGCAATCATTCAGGAATGGCTTCTGCCAGGGGCCTTATGGAGGAGGGCTTGAGAAGTGTACGTAGGGCTCTACGACGGCAGGACAGGAGGGTAGGCTTTCGGAGACACCTTGCACAGATATTGGGATATACAGATGCGAACATGCGAGTCGATGCCGCTTTCCGGCACAACGCCTGCAGCGAAAATACATATTTAAGTACAAATGCGTTACCTTATGCTTCCAAGGACCTTATAGTTAGGGCCCTAGACCCCTTAAGGACCCAATAATGTCCCTGGAAGCCTAGGGTTACATGCTTGCCGACGACAAAATGTTCTGGCGCATTGGCGATCAGCTCCCGCGCTGCTCGCAACAGGAACCGCAACATGCTCACTCTTTATGCTGCCCATGTCTAGTGAACGGCTGTTTTTTGAATATTTCTTTAATGCCTCAGCTCTCAACCCTGGCAAAGGAAACTACCGCCAGCGCCGCCGCCACCCTCGCTCCTGTCAGAGTAAGGTTTAGGGTTCAGGGCTTAGGATGCATGGGTCATGTGGCAGCCTATGCTTTTGAAGTTATCAAGGCGAAGCTGTAGGGGGCTCTGCTGACTCCAAAGTCCTAAGTCTAGGTTCATTAACCTGGCGAGGCCCTTTAGCCCCAACAACCGTGACACCTGAAACCATGGCTCAAATAAGGCCTGAATGGCTGCTTGTAAGATACATGCATAGTTCCTAGTTTCAAAATCCTGACAGCTGAGACCCTGGAGAAACCGATAATCGGATCCTTATAGCACCCTCTTACCAAGTGTGCCGTCCCTACAGTACACCCTGCAAGGCGACTGACGAAATCAAAGGTGGCTCCACCATGGCTGCCCGGTATTCAGCTCCGCATTGCACGGGCGACGGGATGTGCCTGCAACACTAGGTTTTAGTAGGGTTAGGACTTAGGAAGGGGGTTGGGGGCCTAGAATTTAGGACATCCTCCCCGCAGCGGTTGCGAATCTATGATAAAACGGCACCACCTCACACCAGGGTGTGGGCGGCGGCACATCTTGTGTCAGGCAACCTTCCTTATCAATTGAGACACAACACCATAACTAAAGCCGGAAGTCCTTTCCTCTCCGCCCTCTGTTCGATGCCACCGCCACCCACATATCCCGTTGGGGTTCACGTCTTACACACCCTCAACTCCCGAATAATTGCTGTTGTGTAACGCACGCGAAGAACCCCTGCTCCTGCTAAGAAGGCCTCTGGCCTCTAGGATTTTGGGGTCTAGGGACCTTGCAACGTAACAAGAGTCTTGCAAACGGAGTAGCGAAAAGCTTCAAGAGTTGGGGGTTCCGGGCTGGCGGAAAATAATGACATATGCTCACAACTCGCATCGATATCAATGCCGCTCCCAATACAAATGCCTAAACCCCCGCAAAACTCAAGAGCACTAAACCCTGAAATTTGAAGCCAAAAGCACTAAGCAGGAAAATTTCTAATTCCCAAAACCCAAGAGCCTCACTAGACCCTAGACAACAAAACCCCACAGCCCACACCCTCATCCCCTGAACCTCCAAGTCACTACTGTTGGCTACTTCTCAAAGCACCTCGGGCTTCGGTCGCACCGCGAAGGGGGCTGCAAAGACAGCCGCGGGGGTGGCCTTTGTGCCGACATGCACAGTGATTCAGGGTTTATAGAGTTTAGGGCTCATGGGGTTTAGGGCTTAACTGTTTGGGGACTGGTCATTAGGGCCTCTCTTTACCATGGTATGATGCAGAGTAGCTGCTTGGGTATGGAGCTTGGTCTTCAGGCTGTTACTAGAGTCTTACTATAGGGTCACTAAAGTTGGACCTGGGGGTAGGATCTTATTGCAACTTGCCCCACTCTGGAACACAACCTTGGCTGCCTCGGTGTTGTAACAACGACAGGGTGTCATGATCCGCTCGGCAGAGCGGATATAGATCTTGAGGGGGTCATGCCCGTCGGTTTTTCAAGACCGGTAGGCACACCAGGTAAAAGGAGCTTGCATAGGGCTTGGCGTTTCAAGAAGCATGGATTATGCTATATGGTCACCGCACGGCATGGGGCGCAGACTCAGTACAATCTCGGAAAGTATCCGGATTGACAATGATGCTGATGGTTTGAGATGATGGGGTGAGGATGGTGACAACAGCGATGAAGCTCAGCACTCGCCATGGGCGAGTGCTGGCAGAAGGATGACGAACCTGAACATGACAACTGAGCATGATGCTGATGCTGATGATGCGGGTGCTGGTTATGGTTATGTTACGTATACCATGTTGATGATGAAGATGACGGCGACAAGGACGATGGATGCGATTGAATCCCTCATCCCCCACAGCACGGCCAGGACTATGACTATGCATGCAAGAACCCTACACCCTACCCTAAACCCCAAGACCCAAAACCCTAAACCGCCTAAACTCTAAACCACCCGTAACACCTAAACCCTGAACCCCTAAACCCTAAACCAATGACGATGATGATCTTGAGGAGCTGGAAGATGACCATGGTGCTGATGAAACTGCCCATACCCGAAGGGTCCATGTACCCATATAGCAGATACTGTACAGTGAACCCCCAAATTTCTTTTTAAAAACTGAAAAAGGACAATTAGTGATGGGATTCCCTATACCTTACTCTTAAGGATTGAGGCTATTGGGTTTCCAACTTGTGACCTTCTACTGTAGCTTTGAAGTAGTCCTTATATAGGTACTTTCGGGCCAAAGTATATACTGTATGGGTACATGGAGCTTCAGGGATAATCATGAGGCTGACGATAAGTAGAGCCCCTTTACAGGTACCCCTTGAAGGTATCCTTAAGGGAACCCGTAAGGGTGCTGTACTTACTTTTAAGGCAAGAGGGTTCATATGACAAAGGCCATGATGACGATGGCAAGGTGATGAAGATGGTGATGGCGTCAACGGCCAAGTCAAAGGCTGCACAGAGGCCGGCTGCCTTGGCTGATGCCGCGGCCTTCCGCTCAGAGCGAGGGGGCTGTTGATAAGGGTGTAGTCTGGGGTCATATGGCTCAGGGTGTATAGGATTTAAAAGTAATTTATAGGGTTTAGAGGTGTAGGGTTTGGGGTTTAGGCTTTCCAAGCGTCGTGAATGTTCTGCTTTTGTGCTGTTGCGCAGCGTCATGAACGGTTTTATCGAGTGTTGTACGGCGCTCTGAATTTGTGAGAGTTTCATAAGGCGTCATAAGGGTCTCCGGGCTTCATCAGGGTTTTGCTGCTGCTGGGGTCGTTGGTCTCGTTTACGACAGTTCTTCCGTTCGGGGCTTGGGAAACCGCCCATTCAGGGTTCACATGTTCGTGCAGGGGATTTCGTGTGCAACCACCATCCCAAAGCTTTACGAACAACCTGGACCAAACTCCAAAGCCGTAACCCCCCGCAGCCCCAAAATCGTAAATTTAGCACCCCAAGCCCCCAACATCGCGACTTTCAACTCCCCGAGAACAAAAAATCAGAAGAAATAAACCCTAAAGCCCCCACAGGGCTTCGTGTGCACATCCGAACCCTGTTTGTCGACACAAACCCTTAAACAAGCGTGCCTATGCAATGATGTCACAGAACAATCCCGCAACTCGTTTGAGTAGAGCTGTCCCTTCCCCGACACCTGTAGCTCAACACCCTGCCTGACACCCTACACACCAAATCCTGAAACGCTGCTTTCTAAAACCAAACTTTTTGCTTGCTTGCTCACCATTGCTCACCCCTTTGTTTATGTACTTACCTGGGCGTCCTATATAACCCTAACGAGTTTTGGATAAACAACAGCATACCATGTAAATCCATAACGACCCCTCATTGAGCCTTGTAAGCTTATGCAAAAGCCTCTACAACCCGAGCCTTGACTCGCCCTGGCGCGGAGCGCTTGGAGGTGCCCCGGATGCCTGGCTTTTGGGATTTCTAATGCTTTGCCTCGAGGGGGGCGGGGTGGGGGGGGAGGCGGAGCGGTTGGAGGGAGTGGATTCATATAGGTTTGTCCAATGAGGGGTGTGAGAGGGGTCTTGTAGGGTTGTG